AAAAAAAAAAACCCTCTAGTTAATTTTAATCACTTTTATTGTTTGTTTTCTTTGTTCGATACATGTATCATGTTTTTAAAAGAACCAACCACGAATGCTTGAATATGGAAAGCTCTTAGATGTCTGCCGACGAAAATAACATTAGCCTAACGGGAAACGTTGCCAACACCAGGGAACTAACCATTACATTGGTAGTTGCGGTCTTAAACATACGTGTCTAAACCTGCTGGCACCACCCTGGTACTGAAGTCTGCGTTGCTGAAGAGAGCAACACTAGAAATGCGGTCGTACCGATACATGACTGAGATACGTTGTCCGCAATTCAAGTGATGGTTTTATATCAAAAAAAACGTGCGCTGGATGTTGTGCCGGCATCCCAATGAGCTCGGGCTACGTGGCGGGCCGTTGAAACCGTATCCGGCGGCTCAAAATTCAAGGAACAGAACGTGCTTACGTAGGTGACCGTTTTTTTTTATGGCTTCTTCGGCGAAGTCTAGTATTATTGATTTTAATCGAGAGTTGTTAGGGTGATCTGACTTGAGGTATAGTTCTGAAATGATGGCAACAGAAAAGAGAGCTATCACTGAAGCGTATCCCGTAGAATTTTGGGACGTCCCAAATCACCTCGTCCTAGATCTAGGGCGTGGTGCTCCACCCGCAGCGTTATGACATACATCCTGAGAAGTAGCTGGCTTGATCGCTCTGCCTGTGGTTGTTGGGCTGACCAACTCTTCCACCTCCATCATAGTGCGGTGCCCCATCCGACTGCTGAGTACTCTCGTCGGGCTGTGCCGGATCATCCGAGCGGTCATTTGCTGATTCCTGTGTTCCACCACGGCTATCGTCAATATCGTCGTCATGCTCTGTTTTCTCTGCATTGAGATCCTGGACTTCACGAGCATCGCGCACATATTCAGGGCAGTCCGGATCCCCAGTCGGTTCCTTGGCGTTTATCAAACTCTGGAACTTCTTTTTGATGGAGATCAGGTTCCGCACTGCCCTGCCGTTTGCAGCCGCGTACTGTTGATATTGCTCCAGCACTTCCTCGCATTCATTCGCTCCAATCGGTTTCACGCTCCTAACACAGTCAACTACTGCAAGCCACCACTGACACGGTGAGCGAAGAAGAGGCACTGATCGTAGAGCCG